CAGGGTGATACTTACACTGGCCCAAATCTGTACACTGGAATGCCTGCCGAGAACATACAACATACACTTTTTTATTTCCCATTTTTATTTTCAACTTACTCAAGTGGCATATATACATAATGTATGTCCATGATTAAAGGAATAGTTTGCTGAAAATGTACTAACCTCAGGCCATCCAAGATATAGATGAGATGAACAGATTTGGAGAAATCACACAGCTTTTCTCTTCACGGGACATTAATTGATGGCCTGAAGTCATGTAGATGACTTTTGGATTATTGTGATGTTTTTATCAGCTGTTTGAACTCATTTTGACGGCACTCATTCACAACAGATGATCCATTGGTGAGCAAGTGATGTAATGTTAATTTCTCCAAATCTGTTCCGATGAAGAAACAAACTCATCTACATCTTGGATGGCCTGAGGGTGAGTACATTACTTTTGGCTATTGCTACAAATATATCCCAGCGACTTAAGACTGGTTTTGTGGTCCAGGGTTACATATGTGTTTGTGTGTGTGTGTGTGTGTGTGTGTATAAGGCTAGAATATAAGCATTTGGAATCTAAGAATTCAATGAAAGTGTGTTTTAAATAATTTGTGTGTATGTGATTAAAATATATAACCTGGTATGATTGAATACAATGTTTCCCCGGGCATCTATGTTGATTTTGTTTGGATCACAAGGGATTTTTCTCTCAGTTTCTTTGGTTAAAAACTTAAGGCAAAGTCCACATCTGTGGAAAGAACCACAACGTTAAATTACTACACTGAAATCCACTTTAATAAACCAGAAGAATCATTTATAATACTGCCAGTGCATGTCTATACAATAAATCATGCTATTATCATTCTAATACAGTATTACAGCTTGCACTGCAATGCAAAAGACTCTCACCTGTACAGAGTAGATGCATTACCAGGGGAATCGTGATTCTGATAACCATGATCAAATAATCTCTCAATCTTCTTCTGAAACAGTTTACTGGTAAGAAGGTACAAATGATCCCAAATAAAACTGCAGAATACTTATATGTATTTTATATGACCATTATATTGCATTAAAAATTATATTATCTGTACACTACCATTCAAAAGTTTGGGGTCAGTAAGAATTATTATTTTTTTTTTTAAGAAATTAATGATTTTTTTAAGCAAGGATGAATTGAATTGATCAAAGGCAACAGTAAAAAGATTTATCTTCTTATATTCTGAAAATGCAGCGTGCAAGTTATTTTAAACTGTAGTAATATTTCACAATATTACAGCTTTAACTGTATTTTTGATTAAACAAACGCAAATAAATTCAGCCTTGGTGAGCACAAGAGACTGTTATAGCCAGTAAATATCCAGCACCTTTAGATAATTCTGTTTCCGATTCATGTGTGTGCTGTTCTCACCTTTTGAATTTGTCTCTTTTGTCCTTGAGGTCATCTGCCTCATTGTGGCTGAACAGATCAGCGATGCATCCAGCCAGGTTGTTATTGATGCAGTTCATATTGCATGGCGTTGCTATGATGGCACTCATATGTTTGTGACAATACTGGATACACTCCTCAACCTTCAGATCCACAAAACACATGATAATCAAACACCTGAAGCCCATTTAACAACTGGACGAATAACTTCTGATGAGATCAACCAACATGCATTCTGAACACTGCTCAGACAAGTTTTTGGATAATAATACTCATTTGATTATTAATAATGTTCCCCAAGCACATGAAGCCATCAAAATTCACCAGGTCCTTCCTGAAAATTACTGTTCTACATCTCATTAGTGCTTGTTTGGGCAGTGCACAGAGTCATCCAGAAGAACAACACAAATGATGAAACACCCATCATGCATCATGCAATTAATGTGCACTACTACCTAAAGGTCACCCAGCTCAGAGCACACTTGCTACATTACCCAAAACATTGTCACCCCTCACAACACTTACTAAAGTTTCCATCTTCAAGAACTCGGAGGAGATCAGGATTGAGATGACATTGCTGTGCTCTGCAACCAAACACCATATAACATAACTGACAACATCACAAACAGCGAAACATCAAACTCACAGCCAATGCATAACCGTTTACAACCACATGAAACACCATCCACCACTTACAAACGCCATTCAGCCAGGTCAGAGAACACACGTTACACAACACCTCTGATGGTGTCTTTGAATATAGAAATTAAAAACACAACAGTAAACACACACAGAACATCTGAAACAGTTCCCAAAATACAATTACCCAGTTTGGGTTTGTCCATGTGTTTTCCATGCCAATGTTCAGTGTTGTGACTCTTGACGTAGTTCATGAGCCAGTCGAAGATCTGGACGTCACAGTGGACAGAAATGTCCACCTCGTCCCAGCGCTGTGGGTCCACAGAAAGATACTCTTCAAAGTAACGCATCTCTTTTACCAGGAGGTTCCTCGGACACACAAAGTCCTGCTTCAGGTTCTTTGCCTCATCACAAACGTGGATTACCATGTTGGGGCTATGTGAAAGGAAATAATAAAAAAAAAGACTTTATTAGTAGAAGATGATTAATTGATGGCCTGACTGGTATGAATGTGCCTCACATTTTATTCTCTTCCGTTTTCTCAATCTTCTTGGCAGGATCTGCTATCTCACTGTCTGCAGAAGCTCCTTGACCAGTAGGGATCACAGTGAGGCCTGAATATATATAAACAGTCCCATTTCAGTAAATTTTATTTACCTTGTATCTATGAAATCACCCCATACCATATCAAGAATACCAAAATTCAGTATATTTAGGTGTAGTTTAGAGTTCAGCACTAAATAACGGATTGGAGATTTTTATCCAGGCCCCACCCACTGACTCACCTGACACTGAAAGAGTGGCCTGATTGGACGGTGGTTCCACTGTATCTCCGGTAATGTCCAATAAATTGGATTTGATGTAGGTGGAAAAGGGTTCCGATGGAGAGCTTACTGCTCTGGTCAGTGGGTTACACTGGTCATCAACATGAGGGAAACTGCCTGTAGTCTTCAGCTCTTCAAACCTCTGTGCACACTACAAAAATATAAGATTTGCTGAGGAAACTTCTGGATCTTTGTGTAAAAAGGTGTGGGTATTAAACTCTCAAATGTGTTTGACAGCATTATGTGATGGGAAATATTATTGTTATTATATTAAATATTTTACTAGATTATATTTATTTTATTTTTAAATGTTTTTTGGATTAAAATATCTTATTATATTAAATATTTTATTAAATAGTTGTGGAATAAAATCACAAGTTCTTGGTAATTTCTTGTTAATTTCACAGCCATTCTACATAAACACAATTCTATAATATTTTCACACTTTAGCATTTTTGTAATTTTACAAAATACAACTTGACTGGATATTAATCACATTACATGTCTCATATTTCATCTCAGGTATGCTCACTGATGCGTTTGTCTCTTTGATAACAAAAGTACACTAACTTTAGATAAAACGCTGTGGCTGTTGGCTGTGATGGAAATGACAGTACAACTATATTAACATCTAGTAAATATCTATATAAAACATTTTTCACACAACAAAACTGGAAATGGTTTGTGTTTTTCCCCCAATCCATTATTTAGCTTATAAAAGTCTGTGTGGCAAAATATGAATAATAATTACTTTATAAAACTAAGAATTTCGTTTTTTATAGTTTATAGTACACAAAATATAGTTAGATTATATAGTTAAAGGCCCACGTCTCTTACCTCTTTAGGTGTGAATCCTGGGACCAACTTGGCAACATTCTCCCAATTGATTGGCTGAGGCGAAGCCCACAGTGAGCTCAGGACCATGTCCAGCACCAGGAGGTTGTTATCATATGGAAAGTTATTATTAACAGAGCACAGACGATTCATTTCTGCGGAGAAGGAAGAAAACTATCATCTATTGTAGAAAAACGTCTATATTTTAAGAATAACCTGAATAATTAGCATCGACTAGCGCTCTACCGTCCCTTTATATTGAATTTCAGAGAAACAAGGGGCAGTCTGAGGGAATGACAGCTGTCGAATTTGATATCTGGTAAAGTGAGCTTATGACCTCAGATACAACAAAAACTTACAGTGCTAAGAAAATACACATTTCTCATCAACGAATATTCAGTGTGTGCAGCTTTAAAGATGCTTAGCTAGCATAATAAATAACAGATCGTGGCATTCCTTACGTTTTTTGTCGCATCACCCTGTGAAATGCTAAGCTAATACACACAATCACATCGTCAGTTTACCCTGTTGCAGATTTATGCGTTGTTTCCTCTGGTAACAATGCTCTTCTTTCATACCAGCTGAGCGGCTGGGTATGAGGAACATCAACATGAGCTGGGTATGAGATGCTGTGGCTTACTATGATTTTATTCGGGGAAACCAGTGAAGCTCACGTCGACACAGCATATACAAATAATAATAAAAACAAATGCTCAGGGTGAAATTCGCAGATTTGGTGGGCATGACTCCCTCCTCTTGCTGAAGCGGCTCGTTAAAATGCCAGAGATGGCAGAGAGAGTGATGCGGCGTGTGCCATGATGATGATGTTCTCGCTGCAGTGTCCCTGATTGAGCGGCTCGTCCCTCCTTCTGCTGTCCGTCTGTCTGCTGAGATTTGACAGGATGCCAAAGCTCGATGACCCGAGAATGAAAAAGGAAACTGACAAAAAGGCGACCCGTGGCAAAGGATTAACTCCACATCGCCTGCTGCTCTGCCGCTGTGTTGTGCTCTCTATTTCCGGTGCCGCAGTGCAGCAGGTGCGCGCCGGAGTCCCCGTTGCTAGGCGACAGCCCCAACATTCCATTTGATTGATGGGATTCTGTTTTTAATATGGGGCCCGAACAAACCCAAATGCATTTAGTCGCTATAATCAAGTCAATGAAATTGCTGAAAGAAGTAGCACTGTAGATATGCTGACAGACTAAACGCTTATTTTTAGACAGAGATAGTGTGCAACCATGGATTTAACTTGTATATACTACCGTTCAAAAGATTGGGGTTAGCAAGAAATTAATACTTTTATTCAGCAAGAACGCATTACATTCATAAAAAGTGACAGTAAAGCCATTTGTAATGTTACAAAAGTTTTCTATTTAAAATAAATGCTGTACTTTTGAACTTGCTATTCATCAAAGAATCATGAAAAATGTGTCTGTTTCCACAAAAATAATATAAGTAATGTTACAAGATCATGTGACACTGAAGACTGGAGTAATGGCTGCTAAAAAAAAACCCAGCTGTTCCATAACAAGAATAAATTACATTTTCAAAATATATTAAAATAGAAATCGGTAACTTAAATTGTAGTAATAGTTCATGATATTACTTTTTTTTTACTATACTTTTAAAACTCATTGCATTAAAGTGGGTGCTCGGACAAAAATAAAGTAGAAAAAAAGAGAGAGATAAATTCGGGACACCACAGCTCCAAAAATATCGACATTTTATTGACAGACTCTCACAAAGGGGATGTTTTGAGTTCTCTTCATCTGCTGACTTTATCTTTTTTGTACTACATTTTAAAATAAACTAATGCAGCTTCAGTGAGCATAATACGTTTTTAAAAAATACTTACTGACCCCAAACTTTTTAATGGTAGAGTAACTGTTAGCAGATTTGCAGTGTAACACATATTTTTATTACTTATCTTTATTTATTTACAAATGCACCTAAATTTCTTACCCAGCCTCATGTCAATCAGTAATTTTCTGTAATCTTGGAAATGCTGGAACTTTACTATACAATTGAAAATGACAGGAGATAAATTTTTTTAAAGTATTTACTAGCAAAATAATTGCTTGTATTTACATAATTGCACACCGTGTTAGTGATATGAAAACACAGAAAAATGCACAAACTAATTCTTGATACAACACAACTTAAAATATTAAATATTCACATTGCAGAAAGATGAACAGTAATCTAAAACTCTTACATTAGGAGAAATTCGTGATAAACACTGCATTATAAATTTAGACTGATATGACACCTCATAATTTAAACTAATCAGATGCATTAACTGTGTATGCTTGAATGACCCACGTATTTGTAACATTTTATGTTTGATGTGAGCATATCAAAACAAACTGAATCCATTTTTCCTAATAATTATTCAAAATAAATCAATGGGTCTTATTAACACAATCTTACAAACTATAATGCTGAAATACCCAATATTTTTGTTGAAGAATGAAAATGTGAACAAATATTGGTAATTGCTTTGAGCCTAACAGTCTACTGAAATTTACAGAATGATGCAGTTCATACGATAAATGAAAATGACCTCCCCTCCACAACACCTCCATTTTCATTTGTTCCTCTCCTTTTTTTTTTTAGGTGTTGGACTAAGTTACATAGAGGGTGATACATTCTAATGAAAGATACACTTTTTCTCCTAGCTCCCACCAAGAGACACACACACACACACACCTCCCTGCACATACAAATTACTCATAAGTCCATCTTTTCGGTGGTTATCACTACAGTATCACTGTTTTTGTTTGTAGAAGGTTGCACCTCCAGGGTAGCATGAAGGCCTTGTGTTTCACTGTAAACAGAATCCAAAAGCTCATCTGGATCTGATGTGGTAGGGACCGCCTGCCTGGAGTTGGGAACAGAAGCTGTAGCCAGAGCAGTTTGAGGTGCTGGAAGGTTCTGTGCAGCCTGCTGGGCCTGTGCCATCCTCTCTAATTCTGCATGCTTTCTGCCTCTCCTCCGGCCCAACACTTTGACATAGTTGGCAGGTACGAGGCCAGTGGTCTGCCCATCCACACTGGCTAACAGCCAGCCACGCACCCTGGGCTGTTGTTCTGAAAATAAGAGTGAAATACACCGAGTACAAGCTTTAAGTCAGTGTTTATAATACCTAGGGACTAGGGCTATGCAATTAATCGCATGCGATTATGAACGCGATATTGCCTAGCTTGTCAGTGAACTACGGCTCTGTGTATTAAATGCCGCACCATCTGAAAGCAGGTGATGGCGATTTACTACCAATCACGAACCGGCTTTACTGACGAGATGCGCATGACAATCGCATTGCACAGCCCTACCTAGGACAAAACGTACATGGTTTTAATATGCTTGACATCAATGAAATTTTAAATGTTACACTGCTTAATATGAGAATAGTTGCCACACTAGCTAGAGTTTTTATGCATGTAAAAGTGTTTAAGTACTCTTGTGTTCAGAATGTTTCTTGTTCTTTTACCTTTAGGGGCAAGATTAAGCATGTCTCCTGCCTGTAGAGAGATCTCTTCCTCAGATGCAGCTGTGAAGTCATACTCAGCTCGTGCTACCACATGGTCATCCTCCCCACTTGCCCAGTTAGTGGCTATAAACCAGAACACAGACACATGCGTCAGAACTTAAACCCAGCACAAACATACAGATGCAGCTACATATTCTGACACTTACAAAAAACAAACAAACAAACTACATACAAATACATTTAGGTCATCCAATAATTTCTACAGGCTGCTGACGAAGATGTGCATTTCTGAATAATAAAATTACTTAACTCTGCAATAAATCCAGTGACCGAAGTACTGCTTCAGAAGTGTGACGCTTCTTTCAGCATTGTTTGTGGTACAACACACACTACTGTTCTAAAGTTTGTTTTTGAAATTTATTATAAAATTTTGCATTTATTTGATCAAAAGTACAGTAATATTGCAAATAAATCTTTTCTATTTTAATATTTAAAAATATTAATGTTGAAAACAGTTGTGCTGCTTAATATTATTGTGGAAACTGTGATATATTTTATAGAATAGAAAGCTAATTTATTATTTATTTAACTAATTAATTTATCCTAATTATTTAAAACAGAAATCTTTTGTAACATTAGAAATGTCTTCACTGTCATAATAAATGCATCGTTGCTTGATAAAAGTCTTAATTTCTTAAATAAAAAAAATCTTACTGACCCCAATTTTTTGAATGGTAGTGTAAATCATTCTCATAATTGGTCCTATAGTCCCACATTAAAACCAAAATATAAATGGCAGTCATATATATGCAGTAGGGCTGCACAATTAATCGAATTTCTAATTGCGATTGAAAACATTCACAATTTTATGTGCAGTTTTACCAGAGAAGCCGTAACAAACTTGTGCAGTAAACAATAAGTTACACAGTAGAGCTGCACAATTAATCAAATCTAATCGCGATTACAATTATGAATGCCACAATTACGTAATCGTTCAAAGCGGCAATTAATTGTTCAAAGTCCACTTATGTTATTCTGCACGCTTAAGATGCGTTTTTTCTTTCTACATGTTATCTTAAGGGTTTTTCCACTGTTTTAATTTTAGTTTTACTATAACATTATAATACCATTTAAAGAAGAAACCAATCCGATGTATAGTTGACACTCGAGGCTTAATACTATTGAAAAGCACTAAAAGTTTTTCAGTTAGAGTGTTTTCAGCTTGTTTCTTTTCATATAGAAATATGGCATGCAGTTGCATCAAACAATGGTATAAACATCATTCAATGTAAAATTTACATTGTAAATTGTGATAATCTTAATTAATAATCACAATTTCAAGGGAATAATCGACAATTATGATTTTTGTCATAATCGTGCAGCCCTAATATGCAGCCATTGTCACAAACAAAATAATAAAGCAAAAGCTTCCTTGGCTTTTTAAGAAGCCTCATGTCAGACCAATAAATAGTGAAAAGAGTGTGTGAAGTTTACGATGAGAACAGACAGAACAGGAAGGGAGAAAAATGTCTCACCACTTTCCTCAGGACCCTCAGCAGACCGCAAAAACTTCCAGATCAAATACGGCCCTCCAAGAACTACAGCAAAAAACAAGAAAATGGGCCATGATTTGACAGAATTCGCTCCGGGGTCATCAATCCCTGCGTCTCTGGTTCCTGAAGCAGACACCATGGAGGAAGCGGCGCTGTCCGCCCACAAGTCATCCACCTCTGAATCCTGACGCAATCCTAGCAGCCTCTGCAGCCTGCGATATAGGTATCTAAGGGTCCTAACCAGAGCGAAGGCAGACAACACTTTTGTGAAATGTATGCGCAAGCGGGAGAAGTGATTGGCCACATCCAGAACAGCACGGAAGCTGTTGTAGACAGCAGAGAACGTAGCATCCATCATCATGCTGACTGACGAGAAGGCGTGGACAATGCTCTCAATGGACTGAAATGCTCCGCGGCTGCTCTCCTCCGCCTGCTGGACAAAACGGCTGGGTGGGATGTCGTCCGTTGGGTTATAACGGTTATAACCCACGCTGCCTCCAACTCCATAACCACTGTAGCTGTAGGGGCTGTAGCCCCCATAGATGGAGCTGCCATAAGGGCTGTATGAGGAGGGAAATGAGCTGTATGTAGGGCGGTATGCTTGCTGGACGGGTCTTGGAGGGATGGGTGGTACCACACGTGTTAGAACTGGAGGACCAGACATTGATGGCCCACTTTGTGATGCTAATCCAAAGTCAGTTGAGCTAGATATAATAATAATAATAATAATAATAAAAAAAACCCAGAGTCAAATGAAACACCATATATAATAAGACCAATAATAATAATAATAATAACACCGTTGAAAGTTGCCAAATAAATGTATATTTAAAGTAAAAGACAGAACACAGCATGGGTATGTAGGAGTGAACTTTGACACTCGCACGAGCCAAGCATTAAGTTTGCGTAACTTATTAGCACAACTAAAAGTGTCAATACAACCCAGTATCGCATTAACACAAAACTTATGAACATACTTATTCATTTGATAACTAAATACCGATTTGACAAGTAAATATATTTTGAATATATAAGAGTTCGATAGCTAACAGGCTTGCTAGCGTTCCTACACTTCGTCTTTTGGACGTAACGTTACTGGCCAAAATAATACGAGTTTTTACGAACCGATAGTTTAGTGGTGCAGTCATGGTTCCAGGGATTCGCCTTTCCCATGGTTTTGGTGGAGGGTGAGCCATAATTTT